TTAGTGAGCAACTTGGGCCACGTACACCATTGCGTCACTTACAATGATGGTCCTCCCGGAAGCTCACGCCCATCGCCATGCACTTATCCAGGACTAGGTCCCCGATACGGTTTGACATTCATCAAGGCCCCTGACATGACCAGGATGCTCTTCAATGGGTTGCACATGTCCATCAATGCCAGCGGCTTGACGATACGCGTAAGGTTACTGGCCGCGTCGTGAAGAATTGCTAGCGCTTGGGGGCCCGGGTCGACGTCTGTAAACCCCGGCTCTGTGACGACTCTAAATATTCTCCCGATGCGCTGCCGAGACTGCTCCGCCCCTGGCATCGAGATGCTGGACAGAAGGTCTTTGGGATTGTAGTCTAGGTGCTTGAAAATGGCAGCTTCAAGCCCATTGAGCGAATGGGGCTTGGATTCGCTCTGATACTCCTCCAGGTTTTCAAGCACAGCTCGCAGCGCTTACTGACCAATGTAAAATGCGCTTCCCTAGTCTCCAACAAGATGGCCCCATCCCCCTGTCCGTCCGACTTGTACAGCCTTTTCTTCCAGGCTGTTGCCATGGCCCCTGTGCCAGCGAAGAGGGCGATACATCCCTCCGCCGGCTCGTCAGCGTCGAGACACGTCGAAAGCAGCGATGTGTCGCACGTTAGGCCTAGGCTGCCCTTCTTTGCGGAAACGCCAAAAGACTTGTTCGAGGCGAGACGACAGCAATTCGGCTTGGCCGGTGTGGTGTAGTCCGGCTATACCAGCTCAAACCTTACTAAGTCTCGGCCATGGCTGGCTCTGGTCGTCGCTTGGTAGACGCATTGATACTGCGGCCGCGGCAATTGCGCACCGGATCTGCTCAACGACATCTTCCAAGGGTGTTGAGTTGAGAGTGCAGGCCCCCGCAGTTGCTTGAGCAAGTAAGCCTCTTCTTCGCGTGGCAATAGATACGGCACACTTGGTCCCGCCACCGTCTATGCAAAAGAAGTATTCGTTCCCCTCTGCTTTCTCGCCATCTGTACCCGTACAACCAATCACGAACTGCGATTTACTCGAGTCTGGTCGCAAATGCCTGGACATGACCATCTACACCGTCTAATCTCCGCTTCGCAATACTCCAGTGCAGACCAGAGAGTCCCACAGCGCAGGCGAGCTTGACGCTGCCGCGACAGCGCTCGATTAGGGTCTCGATGCTGGCGTTCTCATCGGATTTGGAATGGTTCTGTATGTGTTTAGAGACGTTGCGCAGAAGTGGCCTTCCTACGCATATCTGCCGGAAGATACGTCTCGCTCTCTCGTGGAGCCTCCTTTCGGAGCATTCTTCGCGCAGCTGCCTGCTTTAAGACGAGTGCCTCCCGTCACAAATTCGGGTCCGACGGAGACAACAAGGGGGTGATTAACGCCCGTGCTCCCCATTCGAGAGGAGCCGCGTGTTATGGCCGCCGTCAGGGCGTCCGTGACAAATGGTGTTCGTTCCGATGATGAGATGCCAATGACAGTATTTTGTGAAGTAAGACAAAGATCGTACACCTTCGCCGCGCCGTCGTCATAGAGGTCTTCGGCACCCTCGACGACCTCCAGCACGGCCCCTATCCCACCCGCTACCACAGCAAGAAACTGCTCTCGATCAACCGAATTGGTGACTGGTAGCTCTGCGCAGTCCATATGGGCGACACGCCCGCTGTTTTCCGCAAATACGTAGATCAGCCGTCCGCTTCTACGTAAAAGCGGGATAAGGTCGCCGACGAATGCCGCGATGGCTGGTAGACACGCCGCGATGGCAAACGACACGCTGGCCTCCGCACGGTTGAAGGACCTGCACAGATCCAGCGTGTTCATTTTGTCCATGGCACAAGCCAAGAGGCTGAGAGCCTCTGTCTAGAGGCTGTTGAGAGCGTGCTCACGCAGATGAGGGTCCTGCGAAGACGTCATGGTAGGGGTTGCCCTCGTATCCCAGGTGCTTGTGTGGCGCCTCACTCGGCCGGTAGCGCCGTCCAGAGAGTCTCATTTGTCCATCTTTCCACTGAAGATTTCGCAATATATCGAATCTCGCGTCTTTAGGTCGGGGCGAGGGCTCGGCATACGCTCCGGCCTGATCTTTGCTCTGTCCGGGTCTGTCCGAACGAAAATCTGTGCCGCGATCCGTTCGTTGTGTCCGGGCCCCGCCTGAGAATCGGAACCGAGCCTCCGCCGGTAGCAGCATCAACTTCATGCACGCATCCAAATATCAATGGCTGTGAAGCCATTACAAGTAACCCAAGAAAGGTATATTGGCTCTCCCAAGCGACGACAAGCCTGGTCAACTCTTGATCCTCATCTTCGTCACGTACTTGAGATACAGCTGCTCTTCTGCCTCGACCACAATGGCTGTTGAAACAGAGGTTCTCGCTCCCGCGGAGGGGTCCAAGGTGGAAAGCCTCCTTCATCATCCTTGGACACAGATCGTTCTTTCCTCTCTTACTTTGTTCTACAACCCAGGCATGTGTAATGGCCTCACCGGCATGGGTGGACCTGGTCAGGTTGGTGCACTGTCGCCGCCAACTCTAACATGGCCACGCACGCCTGCACCGCCGGCGCGGCCCTCCTCGTCGTGGGTGCTTTTTACAAGTATCTGGGTCCTCGTACATCCCTTCTGCTAAGCGGCTAGACGTATGAGCTCTATGTCGGGTCGCTGATCAACTGCTACGCGCCCAAAACGGTGCCTTCGTCATCGCCGATGGTGCCCTGCTCGGCGTTGGTGCGGCCTTCTTCTGAGTCGCCCAAGGCACCGTCATGGTGACTTACACAAATGAAGGCCCGCGAAGACGCGAGATTGGCCCCTTCTGGGTCGTCTTCAACCTCGGTGGCGCCATCGCTTCGCTGATTAGGTTCGGCCTGAACTTTCAATCCGCGTCGGGTTCCGTCACCGACTCTACCTACATCGCTTACAAGATCGTTTTGCTCTTCGGCTGGGGGCTCTAGACGCTAGTACGATCGACTGAGACTCTGTCCACGAAGTATACGGGCAGCCGCATCGCCCTCGAGCCCAAGGCCATTACCTGGGCCAACCTGCGCAAATCGGTTGTGTGCAGACCGCCACGATTGTCTTTCACTGGAGGATTGTGTGCCTGTATCCCATGTTCTATAAGGCCAACGTCTTTTACTCCTACCAACAGAACAGCCCCAACAGCCGGACGTTCAACCTGCGCACGCGGTCACTCAACGGTGCACTATATTGGATCGCCCAAATGTTCAGCGGGCTGCTCATGTGGCTTGTGCTTCTTGTGCTTGACTACGCGCGACTAAGACGCAAAGCGCGAGCACTGGCCGGCTGGGGGGGGGGGTGCTCTTCGGTTACTGGCATGGCCATCTGGGGTGCTGGATACAAGTTTCAGCTGCCGAACGACAAGCGGCTGCGCCTGGGCCTCAGAAGGATCTTGACT